AACACTAAAGAGAGTAAAAAGACAAGCCACAGAATGAAAGAAGGAATTTACAACACATACAACCAACTAACAACTAGCATCTAAAAATACAAAGAATTACTACAAACCAGTAAGAAAAAACAACTGACGAATGAAAAGATGAACAAAAGACTTAACAGGCATACCACAAAGAAGAATATCCAATTGGTCAATAAAATATTTGAAAGGTGCTCAATCTCTTTAAGAATCAGACTACAAATTAAAAATCATAATAAAATAACACAGCCATCAAATTGACAAAAACTCAGAAACTCTGACCAAGTCAAGTATTGGAGAGGATGCGACAACAGGTACACTTAAACACTACTGTGAGTATAAACTGGTATCACCACTTTGGAAAATGTTTTGGTAACGTATAGTCAAATTGAAGATATGCATACGCCACAACAAAGCAATTCAGCTTCTAGTTATAAACCCCAGAAAAACATATGTATAAGCAAACCACAATTCCTAAACAGAAGTGTTCACTGTTTCTAAAATTTAGAAAACCCAGAGTCCATTTATTACAGAAAATCCAGAAATAAGAATGGTTCAGGAAAGGGCATAAGCTGGTGGCAGGAACTTTTGAGAAGCTGGTAATGTTCTAATTTTAGACCTAGGTGGTAGTTACATGGATGTTTACTGCATAATTATTCATTAAATTGTGTATTTCTGGACCTCCCTGGTGGCGCAGTGGTTAAGAATCCACCTGTCAATGCAGGGGACACAGGTTCGAGCCCTGGTCGGGAAGATCCCACATGCTGCGGAGCAATTAAGCCTGTGCGCCACAACTACTGAACTTGCTCTCTAGAGCCCGTGAGCCACAACTACTGAGCCCGTGCACCACAACTACCGAAGCCCATGCGCCTAGAGCCTGTGCTCTGCAACAAGAGATGCCACCACAATGAGAAGCCCATGCACCACAATGAAGATTAGCCCCTGCTCGCCACAACTAGAGAAAGCCCATGTGCAGCAATGAAGATCCAACGTAACCAAAAAAAAAAAAAAAGGTGTATTTCTATTTTATGCTTTTTTATATGCATGTCATATTTCACAAAAAAAATTTTAAAAAGTAATTTATCTTTTAAGTAGAATTTAATTATGTCTAATTAAGCTTGAGGGAAAAAAAGACTTGGTGCATGGTAATTTTTCTTTCAGATGTGGGTAATGTCATGTCTGTACCAAAAACACCAATAAAATAAACTGTTTAAAAGGTACTAAAATTCTGCAACTCCAATACCAAAATGGTATTGAAAAATGAACATAATTCCATGATGTGATTTAATAATATTATTTTAGAACAATAGCAGTTGCAAAATACTTCAAATATGTAAGTTTTTAATTTTGCATAGTGCATAAGAAATGAAAAAGGGATGAAAGTATGAAAAGTATGAAAATTAAGTATATTAAAACAACAAGTCCTGTTAGCTCTTCCTTCAAAATTCAATTGGGAATTTTGAAGGAATTGGGAAGTATAATCACTTCCCAATAATTCTAACAGCATCCTCTCTGACTAGAACCACAACAACAGCCTTATAACTGGTCTCTCAGCTTCCAATCTTCCACTCTTGCCTACTCAAGTCCACTTTCCAGAGAGCAGCAAGAGTGAGCTTTCAAAAAGCAAACAGGCTCAATGTCCACCCATGGCTTCCATTTTTACTTCGAATACATTAGGAGCCCTCACTAGTTTCTTTAACCTCACATTCTACATGCTCCTCACTCAACTACGCTTGTCACCTTGCCCCTCTTTTAACTCCTCAAACACCCTAACTTCATCCCTGACTTTTTTCTTTTTTTGTGGTACGCAGGCCTCTCACTGCTGTGGCCTCTCCCGTCGCGGAGCACAGGCTCTGGACCCGTAGGTCCAGCGGCCATGGCTCACGGGCCCAGCCGCTCCACGGCACGTGGGATCCTCCCGGACTGGGGCACGAACCCGTATCCCCTGCATCAGCAGGCGGACTCCCAACCACTGCGCCACCAGGGAAGCCCCTGACTCATCCTTTACTTTTGCTTTTGTCTCTACCTGGAAAGTCTTTTTCCAAACCTTCACATGACTGCCTCTTTCTCATCATTCAGACTGCTGCTTAAATGTCATCTTTCAGAGAAGCCTTTCCTGACTACTGTATGGAAAATAGTACCCTTATAACACCCTCCTCCTCCAGCAAACAAACACCATTTTCATTTTCTTTAATTTCCTGTGTCCTATCTTCCAGATGCACTTAACATTACCTGAAATTATATTTGTTCCTCTACTCATCTCCTGTCTCTCCTGCTTCAATACAAGCTCCATGAGGAGAAGGACTTTGTTTTGGTCACTGCTGTATCCCTAGTAACTTAATATATTTGATGAGTGAAAAAAAAAAAGAATCTAATTCATTAGAAGAAATTCTAACTGGAAGGGAGGAGAAGAAATACTTACATGTTTATTGCTTATTGGTCTTTTTAAGAAAGCATCTCTAGAAATATGGTCTGCTGTTCTTGCCACATCTTCCAAAAATCGATAATCTACAAATATCGAAATAGAAAAATAAACAAATGATATATGCCAATGGCCAGGAAGCATCAATCGGCTATGCAGAAGATGGCTTACCACTTAGGAGATTCATTTCAGAAAACTGTTGCATTGAAACATATGCAGTTTTATCTCGAACTCCATTACATGTCAGTTCTGCTTTGTGTTTCTTTACACAGGGCAAACTGAAGAGACAAAAGAGGAGGTACTTTTACACTTTGAGGTAAAAAGGATACAGGCAGAGATAACAGGGTAGGAAATGACACACATACCTGCAGGAATAGCGCATACAACGTGGACATCTGTACTTTGCTTCTTCTGTACCACAAGTTTCACATCTACAAAAGCCCACATGAAACTTGATAAGTTATCAAATATTAATTTTACATGTTTATTTATAAACTTTTAATACTGAGTCAATTACTCATCACAATCAATTTACAGACATGTAATCATAGTGAATAAAGTAGATGCAAGTAACTCTTATGAAATACTTGATAGCTGTCAAACATCATTAGAAAATTCTCCTCTAGGAAATGACAACTACATTTACAATGTTGTTAATGATATGTAATTCAAGAAAACACGTATTAAATTAAAAAAAATCATCTCACTTTGACTTCCTTTCCTACTATAATCTGAGAATGAGATCATTCGATATTTTAACTTTTAACTATTGACACTGTTAACAATTGTGTGTGTGCACATACCCAGAAGTCCAATCCATGAGCTATGTTTATTTATCTCAAAGGCAGACACACCAGAAAAAGATATAAGACCCAGGCAAATTTAGAGAGTAGCAGTTGAATCTTTCTTTCTCAACTCCTCACCCAACCTAGAATGGGCGTCAAAATAATCTAGAAATGCTATTATCCAGCATCTGTCTTCAACTGTTCTTTTAGGATCTTGGGATACTGACAATCAAACTACAGCTACTTCTGTTTTAATGTGTTCAAGACAGAGATAATCCCAAGAAACTGACTACTCTTATTTCCTATGCTGCCTCATTATCACACTATAAGGAAATTAAATCAAAAGCAATAAATATTCATAGTACCCATAGAAAAACTAGACAGTTGGGTGAGTTCAAGTGTATTTTGTCTAATTTTAACTTACTCCACTTTATCCTTGTTGGTTTTATTAGACTTTTCCTCACACCTATCCTCTCTCAAAAGAATACTGAGCCAAGAGCATATTAAGTCAAGCCAGATTCTGGTACAAGGGCTTTCTGGCCCCAAGAATTTTCACTTCCTAACTTGGCCACTGGACACTAGTACCAACCTCACATATTTTCACTGAATTTATTGTCATCTGACAAAACCCTCCCTTCCCAATCGTCCTCCCCCCCATCATTCAGGCTCCAGTGACCCAAACTGGCACTTATTTATCATTATTCCACACCCTTCTGGTAGTGTAATTTCTTTCAGTCTAGACAACAGAGAATTCCACAGCTTTACTCCCCCAATGGAATTCTCCTTGCCCTACCTTGACATGGCCAATTTCCGCTTGGAGCCCACTGGGGGATTTATCTGAGGCTCTTCTTTCACCTTTGTATCATCCATCAGTTCTTCTTTAGGGAAATACTTCTCTTCTTTTACACACACTTCATCCATTATTTCCTCCTTCTTTACGTTCTGATCAAGAAACATCTCCTCCCCTTTAATCTTCAAGCTATCTTTCTTCTCTTCCTTCACTTCTAGCCAGTCCATCACTTCTTCCTTCACCTTCACTTTCTCTTCCTTTAGCTCTGGTTCTTCCACCTTCTCTTCTTTTAGCATCAAACTACTATCCGTCTCCTGCTTCACCTCCAACGTGCCTGGTTTTTCCTCTTTCACCTCAGGCCCATCCTCCACCTCCTGCTTTACCCACTGGTCATTCCGCATACCTTCTTCCATTTCTGACCAGTCCATTACTTCTTGCTTCACAACTGCTAGGTCCACTCGCATCTCCTCTGCCCTTGGTCCATTTCCTTCTTCCCCTTCCCCTGTCTTCCCCATTCCGGTCGGTCCATTCCCCGCCTCTCCACTGCCGGCCTCCTCGGTCCCTACTGTGCCCCTGGCTCTCTCTCCATCTGACTCGAGACTTAGCCGCGCCCCTTCAGCTCCACTCTGGAGACCTCCTCCCGGCGTCTCCTCATTTTCAGCAGCAAAATCCATCAGCTCAAGACCCTTGACCTCCGTTGCCACTCTGTCCTGCAATATGGCTGGTCCACGCCAATAGGAATGAATTTCTGGCTACAACACCGACAGCGGCCCACGTGTGGAACAGAGAAGTAACAAGCAGAAAACGCCGACCCGGCGCGTCTGTCCGAACAGTCGTAAAGCAACGCTTCCGCACTTTGCCGCTTCACGACTCGTGGAGCTCTTTACGGCTTGCTGCAGTCCGGCACAGATCCTACGGGATCCGCGTGAGGCTACGCCCACTGTCATCCCGCCTTCGGGGTGGGGTTTCGCCACACCCTTCCCTTGGGGAGGCCGCGCCCTATGCACGTGGCCACACGCTTCCGCTTAAAGAGAGCGTCTCCGCGCCGGGGGGCGGAGAAGCGGGACCCTCACAGCTTTGTAATTGGAAGGCCACCCTAATCTGTTCTGAACTTGCATGAAAATGGAAGAAACACCTGATATTACGCCTCTCCACGCTTCAGTTTCTTCAGCAGTACTCCAAAGACGATGGTATTACAAATCTTTTGGTTTATTTTGATGGTTAAGTGTAATCATGCATGGAAATGAGCTAGCAGTGATGAAACTCAACATATGGTCGCTATTATTACTGGGAATCCTGATAGATTTCAGGTAGGAAAGAGGGCATTAACTTTAATTCTTTCATTTCTTTGTCCGTAACAGCCGGCATCAGCCAGTTCCTCATTTACAGCATCTTACAGGATTCTCTCTAAGAGAGAGAATATATATATATATAGAGAGAGAGAGAGAGAGAGAGAGAGAGAGAGAGGGAGAGAGAGAGAGAGAGAGGTGTTAAAGAACCAAAGAAATGCAGAGATACAACAGTCAAGGATTATATATATATATGTGTATATATATATATATCACATATTTAAAGACTGGGCCAAAAATTCAACCCCTAGGACTAGAACATCTTAAAAAAACCCAAAACACAGAAAACAAAAACTAGCCTGGCATCCGTTTCAGTTACTTTTGAAAATTAATATTACCTACTGAGCATTAGGCATTTTCACCTAATCTTTACATAATGTCTGTGAGATTCATATTTTTCTCTCTGCATAAGGAGACTTCAAAGAAATGGATTTTTAACTGTGGGCTGCTTTGTGCCAATCCCTCAAATCCTGTTATGGTTTGCAGGGCATTTAACTGTTATCCCTCATTCACATGTTCATCAGGGAATGGGAATTTTGAATGGGTGACCAGAATGAGGAAATTTTGAAATCTTAGTTGGGGCTCCACTGATACTGTAGCACTGGAAGGAGCATTGAAGTAAGTTGGGAAAGTTTCGTAAAATTTTTTTATGGGTTACGAGGAAGAGGCTTGCAAAGGAGTCATATAGACAGTGTTTTGTCAATATACTTAGAGGTGCCAGCTACCCATGGAGTCAAAAAGAGCCTGACTGGTAACCCTGTTACCGACCAGGATTCTTGGACTCCTTAATCAATAGAAATTGATAAGAGGCCAGATAAGAAAATCAGGCAAGAGTTTATTGGGACTAGCGCTGCAGCACAAGGGAGCAAAAACAAATAACAGGTGCCTTTGTTGGCTCTTGGGGTGGGGGTGGGGCAGGAGGGAGCTGGTTCCTTTACATGCGGTGAGGATAGGGGTGGGTCAGGGGTCCACCTGAAGGGTGGCTTAGGTGGTCTGCCTATCTCCTTGGTGGTGGTGTGTGCAGGGTGCAAGTGCAGTACCCTGCTTTTGCTGTAGACTCCTGAGAAGTGGCAGTTGGGTTTTTGGTCTTTTTGTATCTTTTTGTTTTTAATTTGCCCCACCTGCACCTGCACACAGTTATTTTTAGTCCCTTATAGTTTCTTTGTATTCTGTTACTCTTTGTCCAGGTGCAAGCACTGCAGCAAAGGGTCCCAGGTCCCACCTGTCTCAGATTTGCAGGCCAGATTACATGTTTATACTAGGAATAGGGGCTAAATGACAGAAAGAATCCATGTGGCCTTGCTAAAGACAACATTTGGGGCATGAGAACAAGAGGAAGTGTTTATTCCCATGAGAATAACGGATGTCTATTTAAAATCACAGAGAAAGTTGTGAAACTACAAATCAGACACCAGAAGCAAAAACGCTTTGGGGTATTTTGGATATTTGTCATTTTCCTACATTTGTTCTTGTAATCTGTGTGTTTTTTTCACAGTCACTGGAGGGAATATCGTTAAACCAGTAAGGATTCTTGAGAGTATCACAGCTAGTCACTTAACCAAGTTAAACAATCAACACTTTAGGACTGTAGTTTTGATGGAGGTATCAGAGGTTGTGGTGATGTTGTTAAATGGCTGTTTTGAAGGAAAAGGGGAACTTGAGTGGTCCTGCCGGAGAGAACTTTGGGTTTTTGGAGTATAGAGCAAGGGTATTGCCTGCAGGGACAGACATGGCAGGGACGGGGGGATGAAGTTATTTGTGGGGCTATCGTTGAATTCCTATCCAGTTCCTCAAACCCCTTTCCCTCCCTTTTCTACCTCAACGGAGTAGAGGGACAAGCCCAGCTCCTGCAGTATAGGATTGAACCTTCATGCCATCCTCTATCATCTCTGTCTCCCAGCCCTGCACCAGGCATCCATGGTGCAGGTCTCCTACTCACTTTGGGAGCTGGCCCTTTGCCGAAATCATAGTTAAGTTCAATTTAACAGCTAGAAAGCTGGGGATACTTTCTAGGAAAGCATCTAAGCTAAGACTGAAATACCATGAGAGAGTGTATGTTACGGACGGTTAAAACCATTTTGGTGGCTCAGCAGGCAGTTTGTAATCAGCTGTCTGGTTGACTATAGGGTAAAGATTAGGAGGGCCTTTCCTGATCACTTAATGGACAGGTAAGAAAGTGAAGACCCAGAGAAATAAAATGATTTGCTCAAGATTACGTGGCTACTAATGGCAGTACTCTAACAGAAAATTAATGATCTGGTCAAAGCCTTTGTTCGCACCTGAGCCTGGTTAAAATAAAGGCTGGAAAGTGGAAGTGCAGCTGGGCCCACACAAGAGGCAGGAACCAGAAAGCCTGGAAGCCTGAATTTTATCTTGTGGGCATGTGTTGTGATGGGTTGCATGTTGGGTTACTGAGAAACAGATGCTGATAGGAGTTATTAGGGTTCAATGCCTGTGAAAGGAAGGAGGAGGAAGCAGGATAGGTCAAAGAGAGAATTTAAGATGTGATGCAGGTCTGACAAATCCTTGGCCAACTTGCCGGGTAGCTCTGGAGAAAGCGTTTTCTTTCGAGTGTCCTGCATCAGGCGGAACTGCTCCATGCTTTATATCTGACCCCACTCAGTCACCTGATGCAGGCTGCCCCAGAAAGGGCGTGATCTTGGGCAGTAGGCTTCTCTGCAGCTGGAGCTGACAGCTGGAGGCTGATGACTGCACTTCTTGTGGCTGCGGATCAAGCTCTTTGAAGGGGGATCTCGGTGGCACCCCCCCATGGCTACCACAGTGTGAATGTGTGTTTGCCTCGGTGGCCACAGGGCCTTTTGTCACTGAATCAGCTTCGTTCTTCTTTCTTTAAGCCCAGTTGTCTCTCTTTTCCATGTACCTTGTTAAGAAATACAGCCACTCCACAACCCCCGGGTTTATGTATTCTCAATGCGTGTAGTCATGGATACTCCCTATTGTCCAATTCCAAATGTCTGGGGAAGAGTCTGATTAGATAAGCAAAGTAAAGGGGGTAGGATCTCTTAGTGTAAACATGATTGTGGAGTTGTCAGGGAAGACCAGTTTGATCTGGGCAGTGTTCTCTGATGACAATGGGAAAAGTACTGGGTTTAAGTCTCCAAGCTATGTGCTACTAGCTACTAGTAGCCACTAGTTGTGTGACCACGCCACGTCTAATTTGGTTTCTTCATCTGTAAAATGGAGATAGTTATACCTATTTAACAGAGCTGTTTTGAGAATTAAATGAGAAAATGTATGTGAGCTTTTAAACAGTAAAGCATTTTATAATTATAAGTATTATTTTCCTCATTCTACTAGTAATTTTGAAAGCTTCACTGGTGACAGCTTGTTTTCTCTTTCAGACTGTGGAGGACAAAGCTGAGATAATCACATTACCCAGTTCTCGGCACATTCTCACCATGTGCAACAATCCTTTCTTTAATGTTTTCGTCATTTGTCCATCTCCACTCTCATTACCCTCCCTCTCACTCTCATGCATTTGATCTGGTTCCTTATGTAAACACGTCTTTGTGAAATACATAGTGTTGTTTTATTGTGTGTTATTTGTAACAGCTTCCTTGAGGTATAATTCACATAAAAATACACCTATTAAAAAGATACACCTATTATAAACTTACCTAACTTTAAATTTATGGAGTTGTGCAACCATCACAACAGTCCAGTTTTAGAACATTTCCATCTTCGCCCCAAATTCCATTGTTTCCATTTGCAGTCAATCTCTGTTCCCAGGCAACCATTGATCTGTTTTCTTTCTGTATAGATTTGCCTTTCTTGGAAGTGTCGTATGAAATCATACAATATGTGGTCTTTTGAGTTTGGCTTCTTTCATTTAGCATAAAGTTTTTGAAGCTTACCCATGTTGTAGCATGTATTGGTAGTTTGTTCCCTTTTTATTTCTGCATAATATTCCATTGTATAGATATATCACATTTTGTTCATTCCTTTACTAGCTGATGGACATTTGGGTTGCTTCCAGGTTTGGTATTATGAATAATTCTGCTTCCACATTCACATATAAGTCTTTGTGTATACATATATTTTCATTTCCCTTGAGTAGATAGGTACTTGGGAGTGGAATTTCTGGGCCATGTAGAAAGTTTATGTTTAATTTTTTTTAATTTTTATGTAAATTTTTAAATTTAAGTTTATGTTTAATTTTAATTTTTTTTATGTTTTAATTTTTATGTAGAATTTCTGGGCCATGTAGAAAGTTTATGTTTAATTTTTTAAGGAATAGTCAAACTGTTTCCCAAAATAGCTATTCCATTTTACATTCCCACTGGCAAAGTATTAGGGTTCCAGTTTCTCTACATTTCTTGCCCAAATTTGGTATGGTCAGTCTTTTTGATTATGGGTATATAGTGGTATCTCATTGTGAATTTAATTTGCATTTTCTTAATAACTAGTAATGATGTTGAGTATCTTTTCATGTGCTTACTGGTCATTCTTATGTGAAATGTTTATTAGTGAAATGTTTATTCAAATCTTTTGCCTATTTTTTCTTATGTTATCTTTTACTTTTTAAGTTTAAAAAATTTTAAAAATGTAATACAATTTTACAAGGTTATTTTCCATCTAGTTATTACACAGCATTGGCTGTATTCCCTGTGTTGGTACAATACATCCTTGAGCCTGTTTGTACCTCACACTCCCCAACTCTTATATTGCCCCTCCTGCCCCCGCCAACCCAAGTGGCTACTAGTAACTTGTTCTCTATATCTGTGAGTCTTCTTTTGTGTTATGTAGTAGCGGCGGGGCGAGCGCACAGCTATTAGCACATGACCGTTAGCGCTTGGCGGGTTAGAGGTCCCACTCTGCCA